TCAAATCTATTAATAGACAAAAGCATATGAAGTTATTGAATACAAGTTTTATGTAGCATAGGAGCCCTCATAAAAAATGAAGACACAAAAAAGCAGAATCAGATAGTATAGTATGAATTTGACAAGAATAAAATATTGTGATGAAGCAACCGAATTATGTGGAGAGACTTAAAAGATAAGAATTAGTTTAACAGGGTCTGTGCAGAATTATTTCAGTGTCAAGTTCCTCATCTTTGAGGATAAGGATGTCGCAACTTTCACATGGGAATTTCATCTTCTGTTTTTAAGGTCAGAAGGACTTTTTCTTTCTCTTTTTTCTATTTTCTTTTTTTCAACTCTTGTTTTTCAAGTGCCTCTGACAGAGGCTGTCACTATGCCAGAGCATTCTTAATCCTTCCTAGGTAAAGCAGTGTGTGTTCTAGTATTGTTGATGTTGTTGCTTTTGTTATTAAAAAGGATTCTGAAGTTGCTCAGTGAAAACTCAAAAGGAATGATTTACTTATTTTTCTACCTCTAGAGATTTGAAGGCATTTGAGGAAGAATCATGTCTTCAGTTTGGAAGACTCCCCCTAGGTCAAATGCAATGCCTGATATCGTTGTGAAAATCATTGGAAGCAAACACTTTCGATACCTTGCAGAGAAGCCAAAGATGTAAGTTTCCTGCTTTAAAAAAAATCTTTATTTCTTAGATGACAATGAAATTTTTTTAACCCAGTAATTTACATTTTAAAAATGCCATCCATGGAAAATTAAGTCATTAAGATGCAGCAGTGGGGGTAAAACGGTGTTGATAACTTCTGTGTGCATTGTTTTCCTGATATTTTTCATCTTTATAATTCCCCATACTCCTTAATTACTTGGGTTGGTTTTCCAAATAGATGGGAAATATGAGCATTAAGAAATTTATAAATATTAATGGAGTATTGCTGCTTCTTTTCATCACGTTTGTAATCTACCACATGTAGTAATTTGGGGATAGGGAGGGAAAAGAGGGCTGTTAGTCAATTTGTTGTGAATTAAAGGAGTGGGATTAATAATGAATCATAAATTGTAAGGTTTTCACTTACTCTTATTCGCATTGGATATTCTTCTAAGCAGCACCTTATAGAGCACAGGTGACATGTCTTTCTTCCCTTCCCATCACAGCCACAAGCAAGAACATTCCTAAGTCTCAAAAAGTCACTAGACATTTGACACAGAAGGGTATGACTGGCTCATCCTTGCAGAGTTTTGATGATTCACAGAAGAAAAGCAAGTGTTAGACCTACCTTTCTTATAGAGGACGCTCCATAAATATCAGCTAGTCAAGAAGTTTGCCTTTTCCTCCTAGGATTGTTTCCTTAGCAATTCCCTCAATTTCAGAAACCCACAGACTGAATAAATAAAAAAAGATATGGCATCATTGAACATAGGTACAGAGAGCAATGGTTACTAAACCTGACTCTCCTCAAAATTGACTAAATATACATTCAGGGTCCAACTCAAAACCAACCAAATCAGACCCTCTAAATGCAGGTCACCAGGAACACAGTTACAAAGGACAGGCTTCACAAAGGCTGTTGGAACTCCATTGTGTTTTGCCTCTGCACCATCAGTATTGTCAGCCCAGAGAGATCCTAAAGTGAGTGCTGTCATCAGTGTCTGTCAGCACAGTGAAATGTGCTTGATAGCACATGACTGAGGCAGTGGAGATCCCTGCAGAACTGAGTGGTGTGAATTCAAATCCTATTTCTGGCCAGACACAGTGGTGCATGCCTGTAATCCCAGCATCTTGGGAATTTGAGGCAGGAGGATTGCAAGTTCAAAGTCAGCCTCAGCAAATTAGTGAGATCCACAGCAACTTAGTAAGACCCTGTCTCTAAATAAAATATAAAAAAGGACTGAGGATGTGGTTCAGTGATTAAGTACCCTGGATTCAATCCCTGGCACTAAATAAATAAGTAAATAAATAAATAAATCCTAGTTCTGTTCCTTCCTGGCCTTTGATATTGGGAAAGTGATTAACATTCCTGACCTCCAATTCTACATCTGTAGAGATTAAACAACACTTATTTAGTAGGGTTGTTGTGAGAGCTAAGGAGAAAAAGTATACAAACACCTTTTCTGTGCATATGATGGTCCACATGCTTAAAAAAAAATGGTTCTGCTATTATTACTGATGTATGTCCTGCTATGGAAATTTAAATGATTAATGAAAAATCAAATCATTTTTCTATGAAATACTTGCCATTGCTTTTATATTCTATCTCTAGCAGGCAGGTTATCTGTTTTGCAGATGAGGAAGCTAAGACACTATGATGAGGTAAGCAATCATTTCAAGATCTCTGGTTAATTCTCTCTAACTGTCAAGTAAGGAGAATTAGACACCTGGCTCGGAGTTCCTACCTGAAAAATGACATAATCATTCTCCTGATTCCTTAGTTTCCTAAGATTGTTTGTTTAGCCTCGTTCTATCCAAAAAAACACTCTACTGTTCCAGGTACATCAAGTATAATATTTTTGTAAAATGAAAAGGTGGGAGAACCCTTGTCCTTTTATAACTGGGAAAAATTCCCTGGATCATATGAGAAGGTACTCCACCTTTAGACACCTGAAGTGTCTAAACTTCAGGAACCAGGGAATAGATAAATTGTGAAATATAATATTTATCTCTTCTGTGACACTCTAAAACATGGCATTATTTTTATGTAGAAGGTGCTTTATGTTTTCTATGAACTTGATACTATTGCCGGGATGACATGGGACTATTAGTGTGCTTTGCTAAAGTAACTGTGTAAGGTTCAAAAACAAACAACTGTGAAATGTTTTTTGTTGCTGACGTAAGGAGAAAACTACTTTTAGACTGTCACACATGTCCTAGAATTCCTCTCCTTCAAAGTGTCTACGCTCAAACCAGAGCCTGAGGGTCTTTGGGTTGAAATAGTTGAACCCATTAGCCAAAGTCTATACAAGAAGCACAAGTAACCACCAAAAGGATAATCTGAATTAAAAGAAAATCACAAATTAATAATGGATAGATAATAAATCTTCTGATTTTACCACATATGATTAATATTTCTTGTAGGACACATGTTAAAGATGGAATAATATTGCCAGACCTGAAGATTTAACCAGCAGGTGAGCTTGCTAAGGTTTCTGTAACATTAGCTACCACAACTGGGTGGCTTAGGACAACAGCAGTTTATTATTTCACTGTTTGAGAAGTTTGAGGTCCAAAGCTAAGGTATCTGTAGATCTGTGCTCCCTCTGAAGGTGCCAGGAAAGAATCTCTCTGTCTCAGGCCTGTCTCCTTGCTTCTAGTAGTTCTCTGGCTTGTAGCATCATAACTCTAAGCTTTAGGGTTTTTTGCCCTGACTCCACCTATGTTCAAATTTCTCTACATTATGAAGACACCCATCAATTGGATTAGAAGCCCACCCTACTCCAGTAGGACCTCATCTTAATTCATTACATTTGCAATAACCCAATTTCCAAAGAAAGTCATCATTTAGGTGTGGGGATTAAGATTTAAACATAGGGACTTGGTAGAGACAATTCAACCTTAACAACCAACCTCCTATTTTATGAATGAGCTAAGACAGCAGAGGTCCATGGGCTTACAGCAAGCTGCTAAAATTGTAGACCACTTACAAAGAACTGAGATGGAAATGGAGCACTCCCTCCCTCTTCCCTAGGTTTAGCTTGTACAATTGTTTACGTAAAGGAAAATACAAAACACCTATTAGTATACAGATTTTCCACCAGGAGATCAGCCTACAGAGATCAAAAAGTGCATCAAGTGGCTTGTATTTTGTGCCACCAACATTTATCTTTTAGATCACTTGCAAAGGAGCTTCCTTGCCTCTGATTTTCTTGTTCTCAATTCTGCTCTCTGAAGCCTCATTGTTCAGTGTGTAGTTCATGGACCAGCAACACCATCCTCACCAGGGACCTAGTTACAAACAGAACCTCAGCACTATCTCCAGATGCACTGGGTCAGAATTTGTCTTTTAGCCAGATACCCAAGTGACTCTTATGCACACTTTAGTTTGAGAAGCCCAGTTTCAATTATGGCCAGAACGATCTTTCTAAAATACAAACCTGATAGTATTGTACCACCAGCAGCCTCAGATTTGCCTGCTGCTCCTGTGGCTCTCATAACACCTCTACAGATACTTATTGGTGACTTCACATAGATCTCTTTCTCCCTCCTTTAACTGTAAATTCTAAATGTACAACTATATCCTCAGCACAAAGGACACAGTCTTGTACATGTTAAAATCCCACTGCATGAATTAGAGCAACATAGTTGCCAAGAAAAACTAAAGATCTAGAAAGATAATACTTGGTTGCTTTAAATAAATCTAAATCTAAAGACCCATGCTATTAAAATAAGCATGCAGATGTTCCTCTGGAACCCTGATGAGTGAACTTTGATACTGTATCCAAAGGAAGATATGCCAGGGGACAGCAAACACATTATTTTTTCTTCCTTTACAAAAAGGAAATAAGAGTGGGGAATAAAAATCACAGAGCCAGAGGCTTGTGGACCATCTCTGGCAAGTTGTAGGCCAAATAATTAAATATAGCATTAATTAGGAAAACGAAACGTGAAAGTGATGATCTCCAAGAGTTGGTATATGTTAACTGAGAACAGTTTGGGCCACACTCATCCTGTTCCCTTTATTGAGGAGATCACTGCAGCCCAAATGAAGGAAATGATAAAGACAGAGTATCTTTCCAGGTCAACAAATCACTAAGAACATCTTTCTCATAAAGTCCTGAGACAAGACAGAATTGTGCATTGAACACTATTGAGGTAGGTGACATCCTGTAATAGTCCAATCTAATCTGTGGAATTGTATTGAGTTTCTACTCAATACAATTCCACAGATTAGATAAGTTATAAATAAAATAAGTTTACTTTGGCCCATAGTTCTGGAGGTCCAAGTTTGAGGACACATAAATGTTGATGGGCTTCTTGCTGGCAGAGCCTAGCAATGGAGGAGAGTTTCACACAGCAGACACAAGTAGTGTTTGTGTGGTGTGTGTGTGTGTGGGTGTGCACATGTGCATATGTCTCCCCTTCTTAAAAATTCCCCAGCATTGCAATGGTGGGGCTTCACCTGATAACATTATCCAATCCTAATAACTTCCCAAAGGTCCTACCTCTAAGCACCATAATCAGATTAAGTTTCCATCCTTTTAATACCCCACAATGGGGACTTAAACTCTCACATGAGTTTTGGAGGGAACAAACTATATTAAAAACATAGTATATACCAATGTGGTGGTGATTAAAACAATTTCTATAAACACAACCAGCTGGAGGTAGGAAGGATTTGTTTGTGGCCATGTTCTTATTCAACAACTTTTGAATCCACAATCAAAGGAAGACAGACAAATGATTGTACATGTAAGGAAGTTTTGTCAGAAAAAAAAGGCTAAAACTAACAAGATCAAATCAACAGAAAATATACACAAAGTTTGTCTTTAGATAAGTGGACATGTTTGTGATTATGTGGTATAAACGTCTGTTTGGTCTGCATTTGAGCTTCGCATGTACTGGGCATATCCGGCCAGAGAGATCTGAGGCCCTCTGCACGCAGTACTCTGGAGTTCTGTTCTTCATTCCGGATGCCATATTATAAGAGGGATCCTGGCACATTAAA